TATCTGTTTTCATCTCTTTTCATACAAGTTTCACACAAGACAGATACAAACTTTATAAGATTTATACGTATCTTTTCCATATGGGACTGGTCAGAAAATGCTCCAACAACAAACCAGAGATTGAATAGAAAGTGAAAACAAGCAGACAGCCAGCAGCTACAGCAACCTGTAACTGCGTCTACTGACACAGTCGGTGGGAAAAGGTCAGTCAAAAAGACACCACCCCAAATAATCCATCCATTCACTTCTGCTTATCCTTTTTCAGGGTCGACCCCAAATAATGCAAATGTTAAGTCTCAATACAACTTAAATAAAAACTATAAACTAAAATCAGCCCCTCTGTAGTTATTATAACGGAGGAAAAAAGCAAAAGAAATATATGCAAAAGGATACAAAATTAGCACATGACCGCAAAGACACGCAAAACAGTTATACATGCAAAACATACAAGACAAACTACTTTTAAAAAACCCACAAAACACACCAAAGTCATGCAAAGCTGCTTGAAAACATTAAAAAAACATAAAAGTATAAAAAAAGTTTAAATGATCACAAAAACATAAAATGTCCACCTATGTCTCAAAAAGACCACAAAACTGCACAAAAATGTTAACAAAGATACAAAAAACGACATGAAAACGACTTCAAGCAGACGTTAAACGAACAACTACACAAACTGGGTTTTTTTTGTTATTTCCAGAGTAAAAGTTCTTCTGAAACGACCTCAAAGAGATAAAAAGGTCCGAATGTTTCCACAGTTTAATCGTGCACTGTACTGTAACCATGGCAACCCGATGCTGCTCAGATTTGCAGCAGCGCAGAGACGTGACCTGGACAACCTGGAGGACTCGCTCTGCAAGACCGTAAACTGTGTCTGCTCACAAACTCCCGTCAAACACAAGCAGGCCGAAGTTCAGCGGTTCGACCTGTGAAATGTGACGGTGCAGGCGAGAAGAACAAAACCCACCAAACAAAGTTGGAGTGGAGCCCATAACCCTCCGCCCTCCCGTCTCTTTTTTAATACAGACTCATCTCACAGGAGTTTTTTTTATCTTCTATTATCCTTCATCTCTTTGGCTGCTCTTTAGCAGCCGGTCAGGTTGATTGACGTCTCGTTTCTCACCACATCCTGACCGCTGCGATAAGCTGACGTATCAGAGCCTGACTCTGGCTGACAGCAGTTTATGGCCTGTCCCTGCCGGCAAAGAGGGAGAACGCTGTGATCCCAGAATAGGCGCCTCTGTCACGGATCCACAGCAGCTGTTAGCAGCACACACAGAGCTCCGGTTACTATTCTGAAGCCTGAAGACATTATTGAGGACAGCAGGACCTGCAGCTCACTGCTCGACTTATCTCTGCAGAGCTGCATGGAAAAGAGAGCAGGGCAGCTCCCACAGCTTCCCGCTGGAAATGTGTGAAGGCTGCTTTTTGATTACAGGCACAAAATATTTTCTTTATCAGCGCTGTGATGGACTCATTTCACTGTGATCTGATGTCAGTCACGTCTATAAATCTGCAAAACTCATACGGTGAATCTGACAAGAAAAAATCTGTAGCACTGGCATAAAACATAAAACACTAAAAAAGCACAAACACTCCAGTTTCAACCAGTGAGAACGAGCTCTGAACCGTCTTTGAAGTCAACCCAGTTTAAGACTTTAACTGTCTTCAACAGCTAAATGCAGACTTTGGCTTTTACAGAAATAACGAGGCTAAAGGTTTCAAGTCTCTATGCTAACCCAGGATAAACACGCCGAATAAATAGGTCCAACTCTGAATGATCGATGATGCACCGCGCTCTGACTGAAGAACTCTTAAAACAAACTAGAACGTAGAAATACCAGCAGTATTTGGAGGATCAGTGAGCCGGTTAGTTGACACACAATGATGTGCTACCTGGAGCTATAGCTAGGCTAACGTGAACACAGTCAGTGGCTACATCCATGTTTGACACTTTAAATCTTATAGCTTATGATCCTGTTAAATGGACAGGTGAGAGTAAAACGCACAAACTAAAGCTTTAAAATACACGACACGTACATTTTCATCCCAAATATAGTGGAGTAGAAGAAGAAAGCATCATGACACAGAAACACAATATTGTGCATTGTAAGATTAAAAGTACTGTAGTCTAATGTTATACATCTCAAGTTTTCAGTTTGGATTCAGGAGACAGACACTATCTTTATTTTAAGGCCTGCTGAGGCCTCAGTTTTAGGCTTCAAACTTTCCTTTTCGCTAAAGCATATAGTTACGGCTGGACCAGGTGACCCTGAATCCTCCCTTAGTTATGCTGCAACAGACGTAGGCTGCTGGGGGATTCCCATGATGCATTGAGTGTTTCTTCTTAACTCACTATGTATTAACAGACCTCTCTGCATTGAATCATATCTGTTATTAACCTCTGTCTCTCTTCCACAGCATGTCTTTATCCTGTCTTCCTTCTCTCACCCCAACCAATCACAGCAGATGGCCCCGCCCCTCCCTGAGCCTGGTTCTGCTGGAGGTTTCTTCCTGTTAAAAGGGAGTTTTTCCTTCCCACTGTCGCCAAAGTGCTGCTCATAGGGGGTCATATGATTGTTGGGTTTTTCTCTGTATGTATCATTGTAGGATCGACCTCACAATATAAAGCTCCTTGAGGCGACTGTATAAATAAAGCTGAATTGAATCGTCAGTAGGTGACGTGTACGAGTCTGTGATCTACATCTGCGATCCTTTTAACGAGGACTAAACACAACACTGTAAGTTTAGTTGCTGATTGTTAGCACCATCACTAAACAGTCTAAATGCTCCTGATTGAGATCTAAACTCCGACACAGCTGTCATCTGACAACAGCTGAACTTATAAGGCCTGCAGCTACGAACACCGAGTCTTTGATCACCGTTATAAATCTTTCAGTTCACAGAAATGGTTTTTTATTTTCTGTCCATCATCCGACCAGCTCCTAGCAGAAAATCCCATCGCACTGCAGCTGCCGTCTCTTCACGACTGTTTCACAACATTCGGACTCACTCTGTGCCCTTAGCTTTATTTTTCCAGCCCTTTACGTTCAGGGAAGACTCGACAGGAGCTTTTATTCTTGTAAACGTTGCTGTGCTTTCTAAATTAAAGAGTTCAGTCGAGAGTTTCTTATTAAAACTTTGAAGTGAATCCACCTGATCTGATTAAGGTCGCCCACACTTTGGATGAAAGTGCGCCCTCTCAACATAACGAGGATGCTTTTCTATTAATTGCCAATGTTTCGGAGTCGAGGGTTCTTATGAGTTTGAACTTAATCCGCCCTTCATTTCCTCACATCGACGCTCGCGCCTCTCACTGCGTCCACCGCTTAATGAACCGAGTCAGAGTTCATCCAGTTAAGATCGCGCTGCTTGGCACAGATTTGGTCTACTTCATTTCTCATGCTTAATCATTCTCCAGCTCCTCGTAAACACAAATGTGGATGTAGCTCAGAGATCTTCTCTGGGGACTAAATTCAGATTTTATCTGCTTTTTTAACTCATTTCACCGTTTAACTGATGTCCTTTATCAGCTCTGCAGCTCCGAAGGACAAAAGAGTCAGTTTACACCAAATTTAAGGGTTGAGCTTTGGCTTCTTTTTTCCATGTGGAATAATGAGATGCAGTCCTAATAAAGCACATCAGGTCTCAGTCATGCAGGTCTGGAGACCGTCAGCGAGTCCACTGTCAATCACTGGACACTGGAAAAGAAAAGGGGAGTTCCCATACTGGTTGGCGAGTTGTTGTTGTGGTGGTTATTCTGGTCTCTTTTGCTTTTTGTTGCTTAACTATCCTCTTAAAGTCTGATAAACCCTGAAATTACTCAATTCAGCAATTAGCCAGTTGCCCGT